GCCGTTCTGAATATATTTTGATAAATTTCTTTCGATTTCTAATCAAATTTATTCTTTCTTTCTGCTGTTCCTAAGTGTAGAGGCTGATTCTAAGCTTAATATCTATAATATAAATACATACAATACAAGAAATTCAGGTGTGTAATTGTAAAAAATGTATTTAAAAAAGTGAGTTGGAGATTTGTAAAATTTTCACACGATTACAGTACTTCCCAGTGTAATTACATACGTAACAGCCGTGAAAGTAAAAAAAGAAATCCTCCATTTTTAATTATTGTAGATAAGTTATATTATCCGGAACAATTATAATACGTCACAAGAGATTATGATTTATATTATTAAATACATAAATTTCTTTCTCGATCCGTACAATCCGGATGGGATGCAGGAGTCGGCAGTGTGTTATGGCATCCGGAGAGAATAAACCTGTATTGTGAGAAACTAGATTTGGAGATGTGCAACGACATAGATTATTCCAGGATAGAGTTGGTTTAATGGTCCATAAAAAAGGAGAATTACGACCTGTTGGTTCGTCGTCTTGTAATCCTGCAATCTTCAGTAAAGACAAGATCTCGTAAAATGTGCAACTGAATCACGGCTAATATTGATCTAGTGCTGCATCAAATGAAGTGAAACAACACCAAAGATCGTCGCCTTAAAAACTCTTAATGGACTAAAAAACATCTCCAACTTCTAAATATAAAATTAGAATCTTCTCCTAACTTTATTATGAAAATGGTAATAAAATTCGGCCTTCGTTTAACACGTCTTTTAATACGGGATTAAATTCTCTGTCCTTGTGTTAACGGTGCATTGGAGTCGATTTGGAGGGTTGGATCGAGGTGCCAGCGGTTTAGGGGGCGAGGAATGACGTATTAAGATCTTCCTGGCCCCTAAACACAGAAGATTAGGGGCCCTCTACATAATTTTACATTATCTTTATTTGGTTTATATTTAAAAGCAACTAAAAAATTGCTTTTTCTTTCCAATTTCGGGGCCCTTGTGATGTAGGGCCCCTAGTCACGCGTGTGATCCGGCACTTTATTCTTGAATGTACGCCCTAATTTTATCCATTAAACACGTCTTAATCCCTAATAACTCAGGATGAATAAGGACACACACTCCATCCAAATTACCATAATAAATTACCAATCCGGGTCGAATCCGAACCCGGACTCTCCCTGTATCGATCCATTTTCACATGAAAGATCTCGATTTTAATGGCATTAAAACTAGATTAAACTTAATACACAACACCCGGCGATGGTTATACAAGAGGGTGAAGAATGCCAGAATTAATACTGTTTTTTTGTGTGTCCTCTTCGCTATTGTGTGACGTCCAAGGGAGTTAATAGCATTTTTTCTCGTTTTCAATACACTATAACTGCAGAATTGTCGCACCCTCCTCGTAATTCGACCGGTATTAATTATAATGTTAACACATATAAAGCGAACTATAAGCATTAAGATGTCACCCAGTTGTCAGAAATGTCGTGTAATTAGGTTTTAATGATGTCGGCACACTTCATAGACACATGTCGACTAACTTCTATACAGTAGCATCACTCACAGTCTATATTAATTCTACTAAATTTAATAATATTCACCCTACTTAACAATATTAAACAAAAAAAAAAAATCTGGAATAAATATAAATTTTTACGCGTAAAATATTAAAATATAAGTGTAAAAGGTAAAGTAGAAAATAATAAAAAATTAAATCATTTCGGTGAACTGGTACACACATAGAAATATATTATTAATAACGTATAACACGCGAGTTAAAGCATTGACCTTACATTCTTGGCAATGTTAAATGCATCTATACACGAATACTGAAGTAAAACTAGGGGAAAATGTATCTATAAACAAACTACTTAAACTAGAAAAAAAATTCTAACTATAACCTCCAAGGGATTTCGTACTACAGCTTGAGATTTGGTTCCTATACTATTGCCGAAAGTAGAGAGAAATGTAGCTACAAACTGCTGAAACTAGAGAGAAATGTATGTAAAAAAATCGCTTAAACTAGAAAAAAAACTGCTTAAAGTAGAAAAAAATAAATCTATAAATGAATTTTACCACTAAAACTAGTGAAGGGGATGGTATTTTTGACATTAAAATACATCCTTTTACAAAACGACGTGGACAACTTTGACAATTTATTTCTACGTAAATAAACAATTTGTAAGTAAATAAATCCTACTAAATAAAAGTATAAATATCGAAGTTTTTAAACTGTATTCTATAATATTTGTCCCGCATGTAACCTTGTAGAAATCGACAAATAGAAAGTGTGGCACGAATCTGATTACGGAATTGATGTTTGCGGGGTTACTTAATACTTTTAACAAATAGAACTTGTTGGTATCGATTCTGACAGAAATCCGTTAATTTCCCTTTTAACTTCAATTTTATTAATAAAGAAAATACCGTTCCTTTTCCATTGTTATAGAACTCATCCGGAAAATAATCACTTTCTTCTAGAAAAAAAAAAAAAATTAAATATTTTCCATCTGTTTCCAAACGAGCGTAATTGATTGGACGAATTTATTGTAAATTTCCGTAATTGAAATATTTATAATTTATTTTTTAAATTGTAATTTACGTGTTCTAGAAAATTGAATTTTTCTATAATTCCACGTAAAGTGAAACCTGTAAAAATTCGGAATCTTACTAAAATGGAAACCTGTCTAAACGTGAAAAATATATTCGATACCGCACGAGTCCGGTTTACACAGGTTTCACTGAATTTTTCCCGTTTAGACAGGGTTTACTGTACTTATAATCTTATTAAGTTCGTACTTTGAGATTTACGTTAATAACTAAACTAAAGCCAAGACTTCGATTTAACGCGCCTAAATCGATACTAAATCGAACGTAGTGCTAAACGTTGTATTCAGTAATGAGGTGTACACACGAGTTTTCCTTAAAAGTCACGTGGTTTAGATGAAAAAGATTTTTATATATTGTACCTTTACTCATATAACTTAGTCCTTTATGGAATAAATAAACATATAAGGATTATAGTTAATATTAGGGACCATTATTTAAAGACTACGTAGTTAATTTTAAATAATGAACATCATTTGGAATAATAATGTAAATAAAACTTAAGGGGTCCGGGCTGCAAATGCTCTCACTTCAAATTAATAATGGCTTGTCCCTGTACATCATACTTTTCCTTTTAGAATAGAGTCGTGTCGGTTTAACACCTTTCGAGGGGGGAAGTTTTGAAGTGAAATAACATGACTTCCGATGTAAACAGTAAGTTTGTATACAGTTAATAGGGGCCTCCTGCCCCTAAGCTTTCCATATCCGGCCTTGAATTTCATTTATCTAACACCGTTCTCGAGATTAAGGAAAGACAGTAAGAATTTCTGTCTACAATTTTTCACATTGCAGCCCAATAACGAGTAAAATATTCGTCAAGTCAGACCACACTCGACATATGACACGTGACCCCTTCTAGCTCCCCATCTTCTCGACCTTTAACCACTAAAATTTAATAGAACCAATCTCTCTAATACACAAAACTTCTTGCAAAATTTCAAAAATTTTCGACAAAAGGCACAAGAGTTATTAAAGTTTCAAAGTGACTGAACACAATCGTGTCCCCACACCCTTACACACGAAAAATAACCTGAATTTTTTATTTTTATATATTTTTACAGCCCGTGCGAAAATTATAGAAAAAATTAATTTTCTACAACGTGTAAATTACACTTTAAAAAAAATAAATAAATTACACATGTTTCGGTTACGGAAATCTACAAATAAATTCGTCCAATCAATTACGCTCGTTTAAAAACCGATGGAAAAATATTCGATTTTTTTTTTTCTAGAAGAAAGCGATTATTTTCTAGATAAGATCTACAACAATGGAAAAGGAACGGTATTTTCTTTATTAATAAAATTGAAGTTAAGAGGAAAATTAACGGATTTCTGTCAGAATCGATACCAACAAGTTCTATTTGTTAAAAGTATTAAGTAGATAGCTAGTTAGATTAGATACTTCCCTCTAAAAAAAAAAAAGAGGGGGGAGAGAATAAGAAGAGGAGAAAACTAGTCCATTAGTAATCATTTATCGACAGAAATTAAGAGAAAGGCACTGGGTGTTAAATCTAACGATGAATGTTAAGATAAAACTGGATGAACGTCGTTATCATTGTCATTTTTCCTCTCTCACAATGAACTGAATATCTTCCTCTCACAGCATTAAATTGCCTCTTATCCCTTGTCATTTTTCCTGATAGAAAATGCCTGCCTCTGTCATTTGCCAACATAAAAGAGGGAAAAACAGGAGAATAAAATAGAAAAATCTTGATTATTACTTTCCATTTTCTAGAATATTTTATGGCCTAGTTTCTTCTGCATTATTTATTCTAATTTTAGTTTTTCTTCTATTAAAAAAATATATATAATAATATAAAATAACTCTTTCTAGTCACTTCGATGATTTTGAAGCTTAGTAGGAACGGGGTGGGGGAGTTTAATACATGTATCTAAGATAGTATTCTGGTCATTATCTCGGTAACAGGTTCGATAATGACAGCATCGTTTACTAGTCTCATTAATTAGTCATGAGACTGGTTTGGTGGATGAAGGGTGAAGTTGATTAAAACAGCATTTACAAGAACTTTTCTACGTTGGAAATTTATATATATATACGTATAAAACCCTATATATATATATATATATATAGGTTTTTTTTCCTGAATTTCCAATTACCTTTACTCAGATGAGAATCCATTTTTAGAATAGGATATTTAAAAAGATGTATCGATTCTATTAAAATGGTTATTAAGGTTCCTTTTTTTTTTGTTTTATCTCGTAATGTAACGCTTAGTTATATATTCTGTCCGCATTTTGTAAGAATAATTGCATAAAACTGAGCCTTTACAACTGGAAAAAAAAATAATCCAGCAACGAGTTGTTTAACTTTCCCGGCAACGTTTAAATTTTCGATGGCGCCATCTGTTAATATATTTTATTATTAAAAACTTTATATATTTTTTAATTTTCAGGGTAGGGTTGAATTTTATTTTAAAAGAATTATAAATGATGATAACAAGTAAAATCGTCATTAAGTCCGATCCTATTAGAGATACACACGCGACCCCCTTTATCTTCTCAACCCGTCGACCTTTAACCACCAAAATTTAGTAGAATCAAACCCCCTAATATACGAACCTCCCAGTAAAATTTCAGAAAATTTTGACTAAAAGTACAGGAGTTATTAAGTTTCAAAGAGGGTAAACCAAAATTCTGCCATCCCCCATACAGACATCCATACATACAGAAAAAAATAGTAGTAAAATTATTTATTTTTATACTCACTTAGCGTTAGAAATGTAGAAAATTTTATTAAATATTCCAAATATATCAGGAGAAAAGGATGAAAAGGATATAGATGAAGCTCAAGAGCACTGTCATTGAAGATCTAGAATAGTGTATTATGTTGTCTTTACTGACATTAGATCCCGAAACGGGTGTAATATATTTTCCAAAACGATAAAAAAAATACTTTAAAATTTATATATTTAAACACCTTCCAACCTTAAATATATTCTATCTTCCTGTAAATATTCTTGTATCGGTGTATTACATTGCCTTTCCTGCTATCACATCTGAAAACTACAAAAAAAAATCACAAAAAAAGGGACCAAAATTAGTTGAAAGGGATAAATTTAAAGGTATTTTAACAGAATATATCAAGAAAAATACACTCACTCTACTGTCAACAGTGATATATAACGTTTTATGTAATCCTTGAAGGAACTGCAACACTAAAATGGAATAAGAAAATATAGAGAAGTGTGTATAAATAAATTATAATTAATGTACTGTACTTTAAGCATCTTTCAACGAAAATATATAATAATAATAATAATAAAAACAGTCACTCACTCTACTGTAAACATTCTTATATAACTTTACGATCATCAACTTCTTAGAATGGAGCTCCTCGGCTTCCACGAAGTGAATTTTATGATGTTATAGTGAAAGATCATGAAATGCTTCAACAGAAAACAGCATTTTATTCGGTTATTTTTAATGTAAATAATTAAAAAAAATCGATTTTAATCGAAGCTACAGGGGTTTATTTCTCGTAAGAAATAGGTTAGAAGTTGAAAGAATGGCGTGTATCGACGTGGAAGGAATAAAAATCAAGATTAGTCTGAGAGGAACAACAAGTGGATTGCCTTGAGATAAACAAACAAGATCACGAAAGAAATTAAGAAGTAATGTTAGCCTGTGGGCTTCTTGTAGAGAGAAAAAAAAGGGTAGAAAAAATAATTCTAGAGTAATATTAAGTGAGGAAAACTTCAGTATATTAACAATGCCAGAACATTTTAAAGGTATTAAAACACGTTAAAGATGGGATTATTAAGAAAGATTGGCTTCAAGCTGTAATTGAGTAACCATCATTAAAATAAGATAATCATCAGAAGGGTATTCTGAAGATAATATCATTATCACTTTCTACACAATCAACGTCAAACCTTTCAATTTTCTAGAGAAACAAACTAATTAGACTAAATGCAGTTAAAAGGAAAAGTAGTAAACGTTATTAACTCGTTTGGGGTCAATCGAAATGGTCGGATGTTGAGGAGGAGGAAAGGGACTTAAAACTATTCTTTATTTGGTAGAAAAAGAAAAAAGAAAGTGTCAAAGATCGATTCAAGCTAGAGAAAATAGCAAAATTATTAGAGAAAATCCTGAAAATAATGACTTTAGGGATTTACTAAAAGGAGGAGGTGGAAGAGGAGAAGAGGGAAAGTAGTAAAGTTTTTAGTGAAGCGAAGCTCGAAATGGGATAAAAAAAAATCCATTTTATAACACAGGAAAAGTCGAATATTTCGAGTAACATACCGCAACAGAGTGTAATCCATTAATAAAGTTGAACAAATATGTCATTAAGGCAACAATACATGCAATAAATTAATTTGGTAGGAGACATGTAACAAATGGAATTACTGTTTTGCTGCTGGATATATATATATATATGTATGAAAGGGAAGTGAAGTCACAATAGCCAGTCAACACAATCCATTTGTTTCGCACATCTTTCATTATGGATGGCACAATTAAAACAAACAAAACGTTACCCGCTTGTATGGTATTCTGTTGAAGAATTTCCTCTTTTGGCACAATTACTGAAGAGATCCGTTTAAGAAAAGTTTCTTCTTTTTCCATTGTGTTAGATGCAGCAAGAATATAAAAATCTTTTTCCTTCTTCTTCAGTGATTCTAACATTCGAATAATTCATAATTCTTGCCTTTTTCTTCTTCTAAAAATAAAACTAATTACACTTAAAGAAAGGAATAAAGTACCAGAAGGGTAATTTGGCCAACGAATTAATTGCCTAAAAAGATAATTTATAAATTTATGATCTCGTCCTACTCTTTAATAATAAAACTACTTAAGAGGAAGGAAGGAAGGAAGAAGAGCGGAAATAAAAATAAAAATAAATAAAAATAAATATTCCGCATCATTAAACACGAGAAAATTCCTTATAAAAATACCCAATTAATTACGTTCGACAACATTAAAATCCTCACGTTAATTGAACTGTNAGATATCTCTATAACTTGTTTTCTTTTTGCTTATAGAAGAATTCTGCACGCTACCAGATATATATATATACACATACACGTACATACATACTCACAGCCAAGAGCAGCTGTCGAAACCGAAATTCTTTTATTGACCAAGAGGAAGTGAAGATAAACAAACAGAGAAAAGCTGTGTAGAAAAAAAAAGCAATTACTGACATTGCTTACAACAGCAATTTGAAAGATTCGAACATGTCGAAGATGACAACCTAACAGCAAATCTATTAATTTTTGGAAAAGCAGAAAAACAATTAAGGGTCAAAAATAAACTCTTAACTTCATTTCCTGTTCCATATCCACTGCTGTTTTATTGCATTCTGATGGAGGTTTAAGTCTCGTTCGCTCTAGTCCTTACCTTCACATCTTTCTTCTCTTGTTATTGAATTGTAGAAGATTTTCTCCACCTCTACGACTAAATTTTAGGTGAATAAATTACTCCTTTAATTAAATATGCTAACAGAGTAATACATTATAAACTCCAACATGCTATTATAGTAATAATACAGCTTTAAACTTGGATGTAATTTATGGTCGTTGCTGCTTGTAACTCGATGAGGTAATGTAAAATAAATCGAGATTTTCGAGATTTTGCGTGATAATATATTAAATTTTTGGACTTTTTATGAAATTTAACTGTTTAAATATACATTTAAATGCTTCTACGGTTTGATGCAACGTAAATTACTACTACATTTCTTCTCTGTTTTATCGTATTGGCTTCACGTTTCGTAGCGCAGTTTTAGTTTGACAATCGAATAAATTAGCCTTTAATTAAATATGCTAACATCGCAACATGTTATAAAATTCTGCATGCTGCTAAAGCATTAATAAGCACTTTAACTCGTGTATAATTTATTATAATATTCCTCTAATTCGCCGACGTGATACGAATTCGCAAGCGAAAACCGAGATGAGGATCGGATTTTTAATTGCAATTTTTAAGATAAATGTAATAAATTTTGAAAAAATTTCGGCTAGTATTAAATAAAGTGTAGTGTAATTTATACTTTTCTCCATTTTTCGTTAAGAATTCGACAAAAAATGGCCCCTTTTTTTCGCTACTTCGCTCCTTATCAGTGCCGAGTAGCTTCACGTTGCCTAGCAAAAATTTGATATTCTAGAGAATAAATTACCTTTTAATTAAATATGCTAACACCGCAACATGTTATAAAATTTGTCGTGCTACTACAGTAATAATAATCGTTTTAAATGGCTTATAATTTATTGTTATTTTCTAAATGCTAGTTAATTCACCAGTCACATAAATTTAAGGCAAAAAGGAGGGAAGCGATTTTCTTAAATATTTAACTTAACTTTTAAAATTATACAGTATTTAAAAACGAATAAAGAATACACTCTTTACATAACTGCTAATGTATATAAATATAAAACATTGTAAACTTTACAAGTGTCCTTCTTGCAAAAATCCTTAAAATCTTACAATATAGGAATTATTATTATTCTTCTTGTGTAAATTCCTTTTTATTTTTCTAAGAAATTTACAAAATTCTATAGACTTGTAGAACCTTTCTATAAATCTATAAAGTCCTTTTTGCCATTTTACAGAATCTATAGAATCTTTCTTATCGTTTTAAAGGATCATTCTTACCTTTCTATAGATATAGAGAATCCTTTTTATCATCTTACAGAATATTTCTTATCCTTCTAAAGAATCCTATTTACCATTCTATAGAATCCTTATCTTTGTATATATCTATAGAATCCTTTTTATCTTTCCCTACATCTGCGAATTCCCCTTATCTTTCTATAGATCTATAGAAACTTTCTTATCTTTCTATAGGTCTGTAGAATCCTTTTTATCGTGTTACAGAATCTGTAAGATCTTTCTTATCGTGCTAAAGAATCCTATTTACCATTCTAAAAAACCTATAAAAACCTTCTCATCTTTCTATAGATCTACAGAATCCTTCTTACCTTTCTATAGATCATTTTACAGAATCTTTCTTATCTTTCCACAAAGTCTAAAAAAATCCTTCTTATCTTTCTACAGATCTATAGAATCCTTTACATCCCGAAGAATCCTTTAAGAAAAAAAAAATCTAATTAGAAGCTCGTTTTATATATAAATATATAAAAAATAAATACCCCTCAAAATTTACAAACAAGATCAGCGGGTGTTAGAGCTTAACTTAAAGATAAAGAGCAAGGATGCTGAAGAGAATCCTCTCAGCATCCGCACCGTTTGTATACTTAAGAACACGTGATTTTTAACACGAGTGACGTAGAGATATTTGTATATCGATCGATTAAAAATCGTTACGGGGTGGATAAATTGTTCAATTTTTTTCATATTTTTTTTTCCTTCTTAAAACGAGTTAAGAAACCGTTTGAAGAAGAAGTTATTAATCTTTTGACGATAGAGCAGTTTCTGCAGTTGACAATGGAGGTAGTTGGTCAAGCCACTGACAATTTATAACATTTTTTTTTTTTTTTTTTTTTTTTGAAAGGTGGTATTGTATAACCTTTTCTTCTTCGTTTGGTCAAACGTTAAAGATTTCGACATTTTGCTAAAGGATTCTCTTTCTTTCTCTTCCTGGTTTCGCCTCGTAATTGTTGTTTTAACCGATCATTTCTTGTTTTTAATTAATAAAACAGCAAGGGGTTACCAGAGAAAAATATGCTCCCTTTATTAAAATCGATTTTTTAATTAGGGAAAATTCCCTTTTAATCATCTTTTATACATTAAAGATAATCGAGTCCTTGTTCTCCTGGTGATCGATCTCTTTAAAAAAAAAAAAATGCAAAAAATCGATGATTTTTTGGGGATTTTATCAATATTTTCACCTGAATTTGACATTTTTATTATCTTCTTTTTAAAACAATTTATCTTTTAAATCGTTATTTTGATTTATTTATCTTTAAAAAATCGTATAAATATGCTTCACTTCTTACTTAAACTGCACTTGTTTGAAGTATTTAATTAAATTTTATTATCTTCTTTTATCCTATTGATATCCTTACACACGTCTCCTGCTAGTATCATATTTTTTCTTTATGGGTATCATCAACTTCCTTAATGATATCAATTGACACAATTTCTGAAGTGTGAGAATGATATCATTAGGGAATTTGATGACGTAAGGGAAAAAAAGAGAAGCATTTATATCATAAAATAACTAAGATAGGGAAGAAGTTATTCCTATTCATATCACAATTTCTTTACTGATATCATCTACTTTCCTATAATAACTGACTTTTTTTTCCCCATTGATATCATTACATTTTTACACACCCTTACGACTTCTCTGTTAGCTAATATCGCTTTATTTTTCTACAATAAGTGCATTTCTCCTGCTGATATCATTATATTTCTCCCATAATATTATGCTTCTTTATTAAATATCATTCATTTTCCTAAAATAATTGCCGTTTTTACCTATTAATATAACCATATTTCTGTATATTATAATGCTTGTTCTATTGCTCTATTGATGCTTTCTTTATTGACCTTCTCATGCTTTCTCTATCGATTCTCTTAGGCTTTCTCTATTGACACTATCGTGCTTACTCTATTGATATTTGCTACTGTTTTGCTGTCTACTATTGATACTCTCGTGTCTTCTCTATTGACACTGCCATGCTGTATTGATATTTGCTACTGTTTTGCTCTCTATTGGCACTCTCATGCTTTCTCTATAGATGTAACCTATTATCATCCTGTATTTATTTCCTATTTATTATATATAAACACTGGCATTTTTTATTTACATAAAGAAAAGTAGAAATTCCTTCATAAAACTATTGATATCAGCACGAAGACATCAAAAAAAAACTTTATTGAATTTCACTAAGATTTATGAGTATTAAAATATTCTATATATTCAATATATTCTAGAAAAGTATATATATAAATAAAGAGATAAATAATTTGTTTTGGTATCTTATGGAATTCTTCGAATTCATATTTTATGGCTCTTCAGAAACTGATTTGTGTCAGAGAATTTAACTTGTTGAGCACGTTCTTTTAAAGTAAAGAATATATAGAGAAGATGCTGGACGTCTCTCAGCAGCATCTTCACCGGGAATTCTGCATATTTTTTTCTTTCTTTTATTGAAAAACGATTTATATATTCGTTTATTTTATCCAGTTTCATTCAATTTACATGGAAGGATTTTTTTTAAGTGTTTGCTTGTAATGTTTACTTCTTAAGGTAAAGAAAATACGATCAAAGTTACATTTTTATCTCGTAGAAAATGCTCCTTACAAACGTTAATCTTGCTCTCTTACATCCCAACTTTTGTTTATTTTAATTAAGATTAAGCTAATACAAAGAATAAATATAGAAAAATTAAATTATCCCAACTGTTTTACTGCCGTTCTGAATATATTTTGATAAATTTCTTTCGATTTCTAATCAAATTTATTCTTTCTTTCTGCTGTTCCTAAGTGTAGAGGCTGATTCTAAGCTTAATATCTATAATATAAATACATACAATACAAGAAATTCAGGTGTGTAATTGTAAAAAATGTATTTAAAAAAGTGAGTTGGAGATTTGTAAAATTTTCACACGATTACAGTACTTCCCAGTGTAATTACATACGTAACAGCCGTGAAAGTAAAAAAAGAAATCCTCCATTTTTAATTATTGTAGATAAGTTATATTATCCGGAACAATTATAATACGTCACAAGAGATTATGATTTATATTATTAAATACATAAATTTCTTTCTCGATCCGTACAATCCGGATGGGATGCAGGAGTCGGCAGTGTGTTATGGCATCCGGAGAGAATAAACCTGTATTGTGAGAAACTAGATTTGGAGATGTGCAACGACATAGATT